ATTCCATGATCCTTTCCAATGCTTGACTTGTTTCACATGGTCAAGGCTTGGAGGGGATTTTGGTTTTTATTCTTTGTTTTGGGTCAGTTTTGATTCCAGAGTTGTAGTTTTGATTTCAATTTGTTCTTACAACAGTGGCACTTGATGTAAAATCGTTTTGTTTGAATATAATTTTACATTCATTCAAAAAAAAAAAAAAAAAATATACAAATAATATGCGTAGTGGTAACTCTAATACATTTATATATATACATTTAACTTTTGTAATTTCCTTACCGTTAGTAATATTGTTTTGTTTTTTATTTTCCACTTGTTGCTTGGTTTGTTTCTGTTCACATATGAATGTGTTTCTTTGTGGGCATATTTGGTCTTATTGGGTTTGACTTGCCACCGAACGTAAGGCCCATTTGTTTGTGTGAACAAACAGAGTCCAACTCTATTATACCAAGTGCTAATAATAAGCCCATGCATAAACTAAGTTCTTACAAAAATTCAAGAAGCCCATGCTTGAACTAAGTTTTTACCAAATTCAAGAAGCCCCCATGCATAAGCCAAGTTTTGACCAAATACCATTTGCGCATACGAGAATTGTGTAATAACAGAGCTATTATGACACACACATTATCAGATTTAGATACAGAGTATAACCAGCAGCTGCAATAGTGTACATGAACTTGTAGTTTAGAAACCTTGGTCTTTCACTACCGAATTCAAATCCGTGTTACAACACATCAGCAACATTTGTACAAATGTTTACAAAAAAAAAAAAACATTTGTACATATACTATCCATCAAATAAAAGAAGAAACGGTTTAAAGTAAACGCCCTGAGTAAGAGGGAGCGTTAAAGAGCCACACAAATTTAAAAGATGATGAGACAGGAGGATAAGATACTGTGCAGAGGAGTCCAAATTAGGGAAAGAGGAAGATACATGTTTGCTCTCTAGCTACTTAAAACTGGACCACACTGATCTCTATTCTTCTTCATTAACCATTCCTTTCAACTTTTTCATATCTTCTATAAACAAAAATATCCCATAAGAAAGCGACTTCTCCTAGATATTTTGATTTCTGTAAAAGGCCCGTACTTGGGAGCTTCTAACATTTTTTTTTTACCCTTGAAGCTTTGAGTTCTTACTACGTTTTACATTAACCAGAATTGAGACCTTGAGAGTATTTGAATTTATTTTTCCTGATCCTAAACTAATATGAAATGTAGTATCATTCCAATGTTATTCGATATCTCAAAATAATACTCATAAATTAATAAGGCATACTAAGAAGTTGATGTCAACGAAGTGAATGAGTCCAAATACAACACTTGAATTTTAACTCTATCAGTCAATGATGGCTCACACTCTAATAAAGTGGCACTTAGGTTGCAATTATCTTGGGGGAGCTCAGATTTATGAAAAGGTAATTGGCACAAATGAAAAGGATATTGATATATACTTGTTTTATAACTTTTCCATACTAGAAAATACATCACTGCAGTTAGATTTATTAAACTAATCTGCTAGTTCAACAAAAACTATCTTAAAAAGTTAAGTTAATTGAAAACGAACCATTTATCACCATTCTCCAAACTGACAAAAAATCTATGACATGATACCCCATGACAGCCATGTGGGCTTTTCCTCACGTAAGTACACCCAAAGTTCACATGCATGCAATGCTAACAAAAAATAAAAAAGATCCATCTCACTTGCTTGTTGCTTCAAGACCATCCTCACGTTAACCATATCAATATCTTATAGGTCTCTATATAAACTAGACGGCCTACCTTTCTCTCCTCATAACTTCAAGACTCTTGTCTAAATAATCTAAGAAAATGAAGATGATAATCCACATTTTCCTCACCCTCTCCCTAGTTTCATCCATCTCTTTTGCCTCAGTTCAAGACTTTTGTGTAGCTGATCCCAAGGGTCCTCAAAGCCCATCAGGGTACTCTTGCAAGAGCCCTGACCAAGTCACTGAAAATGACTTTGCATTCTCCGGCCTCGCCAAAGCTGGAAACACTTCCAACATCATTAAAGCCGCAGTGACTCCAGCCTTTGCGCCTGCTTTCGCAGGCACCAATGGCCTTGGAGTCTCAATGGCTCGTCTTGACTTAGCCGGTGGTGGTGTCATCCCTCTTCACACTCATCCTGGTGCTTCTGAGGTTCTTGTAGTCATACAAGGAACCATATGCGCAGGGTTTATCTCCTCTGCTAACAAAGTTTACTTGAAGACTCTCCAGAGAGGTGATTCTATGGTGTTTCCTCAAGGGCTTCTTCATTTTCAGCTTAACTCTGGAAAGGGCCCTGCCTTGGCCTTTGTTGCCTTTGGAAGCTCCTCCCCTGGACTTCAGATTCTACCTTTTGCTCTGTTTGCAAATGATTTGCCTTCGGAACTTGTTGAAGCCACCACTTTCCTTAGTGATGAAGAGGTTAAGAAGCTTAAGGGTGTGCTAGGAGGAACTAATTAAGCTTCTCTTTCTGTTTTCTCTGAGTTTTTTTTTTGTTTGTTTTATTCAAGTTTGTTTAGTATTCTGATTCTTACAGTAATGCTTGTTTTTCTTTTTGTTGTTATTGTTCTCAATGTTTCATTTTGATTTTCTCTTTGGCTTAAACTTTAAAAAAGTAATAAGCATTGCGTTGCAGACGTCTAAGATGTCAAATAATAAGAATTGCACCAGTTCAAAGGTTCTTGTTCGTTTCATTGATCTCTTAACTCACTGTACAACAAAACAACGATTAGTTTGATCCGCAAAACCTAAACTAAAACACACGTAAATAACACACAGGTGTAACACTGAAATGAATCTAGGCAATTCACCAGACAACATAAAATTACCTTTACATAGCATTTAAAAAAAACACACAAACCAGAGACTAGTTCTTGTTTCATTTTGGCATTATCACATTCGGATTCCGCACGTGTGTGTTCCACTTTCCCATTTTCCCAAGCTCTTTCCACTTAGAACCAGAACCAGAGACACTCCACAACTTATCACCAGGCTTTGCAGAACCCTGTTTTGGTTTCATAAGAGGAAACTTGTTGTTTCCTTTCCCCATTCCATTGGCCATCAACCACCTTGAACCAGACTGCAATTGCCGATGCTGACTCTTGTTATCGGTCTCGCTCTTCATACCAGTAAGATGTACCTCTGAGATCTTGTACTGAGGGATTCCTTGTTCCTCCAAAACGGTTTTCTCTTCTTTGATGGCTTCACTGGTCTCAGTTTCTTTTTCCTCTTCATCGGTTTTCCTCAGCTCTGAAACTGTACTGTAAATTATGGGCTTTGGAGGGACAAACAATCTCTCAACTTGGATAAGGGAAAGCATAGGAGCACCAACTGGCTCATAGTTTCTCAACGGATCTCGGAGTTGAACCATTAGTGCTACTGTGAAGTTATTCCCAAGTAAACCACATCTCCTATTTTTCTTTCCCTTTCTTTTCTCTCCTTTGCGGATAAAGTTTAGTGGGTTTGCATGATGTGCAGCCAAGATTTTTGACGTTTGCTCATTTATTTCATCTCCCTCGCCTATGTCACCTGAATCCAACTTCATCCACTCATCAAGAGTCAAGGAGAGACTCATTAATCCATCATCATCGTCATCTCCATCATCTTTAATGTCCAGAAGTTGTAACCCGGCAGCTCCTTCTAGACCAACACACCCGCTTTTCCCCTGGAAGGCTGAGATCTCTCCAATAGACTGTGCAGTGATCTCCGAGGGTGCTTCCTCATCTGACACTCCTGATTGTATTCTCAACCCTTCCAAAGACAATGCTTCAATCTGGTCCATAGCCAAAGGAGCAAGATCTTCAAGAGATACATACTCTGAGCCAGAGTTACTGTTGCTAGATCTTGAACCAAACTTTTTTCCCTTAGCTGCAGATTCATGCTGTGATATATTATGATCCTTGTGCTCACCGTCAATTGCAGGTGAAGCTTCGCACAACAACTCTTCCATAGTTTTCCCTGTTATATCATCCAAAGGCATTACTTTACTTGCTTGCATTGAGAGCTTCTCAATTCCAGCAGTGGCTAGTTTCTGAAGGATCTCCATGATACCAGAGCCCATCTCAGCAGGCACTACTACTGGACTTGACACTTGCATGATCAAGCTGCCCCCAGCTTTAGAGTTTTTGAACAGTAAGGGATTCATTGAACGCAAGAACCCTCCGTTCTTTGTCTGCACAACTGAACCAAGGCCATCTCCTAAAGGAGGCAAATCAAATGGCTCCTGTGCTGGAGGAAACGTATTACAACCATTGTGAGGTGGAGAGTTCTGGAATGTGTTTTCATTCATACCCCACTCACGCATAAGAGATTCTGTTTCCAAGTCTTCCAACATTTTGGCCCTCGGGTTGCTGACTCTTGCTTGAGTTTCCAACTGGTACTCTTCCTCTATATCATGAACTAGGGATGCCAAATCGAAACCTTCTTCAAAATCTGATTCACATTCTCTTTGGGGATCATCAGCTTCAGTAGTGAAATCAAACAAAGAACCGGCTCCTAGAGTTTCCATTTCAAACTCTCTTAACAGGCGCCCCCTTGGGGACTCAGGTTCACTCTCAGAACTAAAACCAAAAGGGCTGTGTTCAATACCTAGCATGTCTAAGAACTCGCTTGCCACATCTCTCGAACTTAATGACGCTGCTGCTTCCTTATTTGGTGTTCTAAAACATGTTTCTGAGCCTCCAAGGTTTTCTTGATCTTCCTCGTCGTCCGTTGCTTCCAACATTTCTACATTTTTCAAAGCTGATTCAAGATCTTTCATTATCATTTCTTTCACGTCTCTCCCACCGTTCATTACCTCTTCATCATCCGTAGGAACAATACTTTCCTCTGCGGGCAAATTTTCTGTACCAATCTCAACAACTTCCTCACTTCTAGTAACAGAAACTTCACCAACTATCTTTGAGTCCTCAAAAGGAACATTTGTTTCATTCCTATTGACCAAAGGTTCTTCTGGAGGCAAATTTTCAGTACCAACTTTCTCAATTCTAGGAACTTCGTCAGCCTTCTTTACATCCTCTAAAGGAACATCAGTTTCATTCCTGTTTACCAAACGCTCATTTGCATCTTCATTTTCACTAGAAATTGACTCAACAGGTATATTGTGTTTAGTGATAAACTGAGACTCAACTGCTGGATCCACCTTCTCCTCATCAAATTTCTGATACAGAATGTTTACAGAACTGGCCAAATCAGATTTTGCATCGGGAACAACTTCATGAAGATCTTTTATTTCCTCCACATTCTGGGACAGAGGATGAGAGTCATAACGCCGAGATAAAGACTTACCATTCCCAAAACTAGACTTTGTACTAGTAGTCCTTGTCAACGCAGTGTTATTGCTAGTTTGTTTTGCAGGGTTACGAGTATCCCCAACAACGGTGTAACCAAAACTCACGCTAAGAGTAGCACCACTAGCCTTTCCACTCAACTGAAACGTTGTTGACCACTTACCAGTACTCTTCTCATCCTGCAACTCCTCAAGTGTCAAAGGAAGCAATCTCGTAAGATCCATCCGATGTTTACCCAAATCAACCTCAGGAGACCCAACCAGAGAAGCATACAACAAGAAATGCTTAGCTTCATACTTAGCTGAGTGATGCTGTCCACTTCGGCTTCCATAGACTGAGCATGTATGCGTCAGATTATCCTCTTTAAACTCAGCTCTTCCATTCAAAACTTTTGCAGGACGAGTGGTTAAAGATTCATCACGACGTTTCCAATGAACAGTGAGGTAAAGATCCTGGAATATCGGCGGCAACCCGTCTATAGAATGGACTTGAGCAAAAAAACAACAGTTGAATCTGCGGTTTCGGACATGAGAAAGAGCTCTGAGAGGCCAATTCCAAAAAGATTTCTTTTCCTTCTCTGGCTTTGTTGAAGTGTTATTAGGACCAGACACTGAGCTCCTAGGATTCTTGTTCACATACAAAGCTTCACCTATCTTCTCTACCTCCTTCAACAATTTATTGTTACTAGAAGATTCCTCACTATTAACTTTACTCATCCTGTCCTGTTTATAAACACTGAGAACCCAGAGGATCTGAAACACAAGCAGCAGAAACAAAAAAAATCAGTATAAGAAAAGCACAAGTAGAAAGGATAACATAGCCAGCATATGCAACATGTAGGGTGGTTCTAGGGGGATACCATGAGCTCACATAGATCTAGATTATTACATATATGTGTAATTTGATGAATTAATATATTCTGCTTTCCCCTGTGCTTATTATAAACCTCAACCATTGTAATAGGTTCAGAACCAATTCTAGTTTTTCTTACAACTTATCTAACTATCTACAAAACCTACATGGTATAATAATAAAAACTATGTAATATGATTTATTAACATAAAGACATCAGGAGCAATAAGACAGTAAGATTGGTGTTATTTAGAAACTAATCGAACGAAGCAACGTAATACCAAACGGAGAATCAAATCTAGCAAAGAAAAGAAGAAGTAGAAACTAACCGGAGATAATCACGGGAAAGTCGTCTCTGTGGAAGGCTTGTAAGAAGAGAAAATGGTGGAGAGAGGAGGAGCGTCTGGAGACGAAAGAAGAATACACAAGAAATCCTCTCCCGTGTTTTTATTCCATTTGTCTTTTTAATTTGATTTCATTGTAAATAATATTTTTTTTAATGATACGTAAGAGCCTCGTGTTCATTATACATTTTTTTTTTTAATTCTTTTGACCAAATTTTCAATAATTTAAAGTCAGATCCAATCTAAATAGACCACTTGGTAATTATGATTATGTATCCCAAATTTGAAAATCTGTTTAGGTTTGGATCCGTATATTTCCAGTAAGCTAGGGACAAATAAAAAAAAGCTATTGTATGTTTTTAATTACCAGTTTTACGTTTATTCAATTATAAGGCTTTGACTAATTTCAACATATTTACATAGGTATGTAGATGAAGAGTTTGCAGAGACAAAACAAGTAATTAAACTTACTCCCCACTGTTTCATTATAAGTGTCACTCTACAATTATGCACACGGATTAATAAAACAATTAATTTTACATATTTCCTATATAAAAACACAGTTACCCATACACCTAACCATATTTTAACCAATAGAAAAACAAATTATACAATAAAATTAATAAATTTTGCATTGAAAACCGAAAACGACACTTATTTTATAACGCAAAAAATTCTCTACAACGACACTTAATATGAAACGGAGGGAGTAATAAGCAATTCACATAATTAGTACATCAATTGAAAAATATGTTTCAAGAATAAAATTGATTGAGCATTATTTTGATGATTATTCATTTGTAGCTATAAACTTTTTAAATTTTTTTTTTTTGAGAAGTTCGAAATGATATACAATGATGAAAAGTGTTTGAGATTACTATGAATAGAGTGTTTAGGGATGATAATAGAAGAATTAATCAGCTCAGTATTTTTACATAGAAAATGTTCACAGATTAAAAACAAGAGCTAATTTCCAAAGAACTCTAAATAGTGTATTATTTTAGAGTTATTGAAAACAAAACAAAAATTTGAAGAAGAAAACATGTTTGTATTTCAAATTTCTTGTCTTTAATTTTTTTTTTTTTCAAATTTCTTGTGTCACGGTGTTTACAAATGAAGAAAACATGTTTGTAATATGTTTCCATCAGTTAATAAGCCAAAATTAAAAGTCTTTTTGGGGATGGCAAGGAAGAAAATTAAGATTTTATTAATTGTAAATTAAGTTAATTAACATAACATAAAAACAAAGTTATTCGGATTATGGAAATATCTCAAGCCCATTAATAAGCCCAAAGTCAAATAGATATTTTTTTCTTCCTTTATAATAACATCCAAAGCGTCGTTCCCTTCTCCATCATCATCATCAGATTCTCTCCCTCTCCCCGAAAGCTTCTCCAGATTCTTAGGGTTAAAGAGATCATCAAATCCATGGCTTCCCTAGACTCCGACGTCACCATGGTTCCGGCTGGAGAATCCTCAAGCAGCGCCGCCGCCCCTTCCTCCTCCTCCACCAAGAAGGCGAAGAGGTTCGAAGTTAAGAAGTGGAGTGCCGTCGCTCTCTGGGCTTGGGGTAAACCAACGAACAATCAATCGTCTCTTATCTAGAATCTAATCGGTTAAGCTAGGGTTTGTGTATTGATTGATTGATGTTTTCTTTGTTCAGATATCGTTGTTGATAATTGCGCCATATGCAGAAACCACATCATGGATCTCTGTAAGTGTAACTATCGATTTCGTAACGATGATTGGAGATGAATCAAGAAATTGTTAATCTCGTTGTTTTGTTTGCTTGTGTGTGGTTTAGGTATTGAGTGTCAGGCTAATCAGGCCAGTGCTACGAGTGAGGAATGCACTGTTGCTTGGGGTGAGTCTTGTTTCTTCTTCGTTATCTTTGCTTTTTAATTGAGTCTTGATTGGTAGGTTTATAACAGTTGTAGCTTTTCGTGATTGTGTATAGAAACATAGAAACTGTATGCAATTGTATTCCTTAGTGTATCATAAGATTGCTTGTAGATGTCTGTGAAGATTATAGTGTGGTTGATTTTGATTAGGTATATGGAATGTTAGGATTTTTTTCTTAGACCAATTGTTTGATCCTGAAAGTCTCTATCATAAACTTGAAAAGATGGACATATTCATTGTATCTCTGTATCCTCAATGGCTCACAATGCAGTCTTGTCAGCTGGGAAGGTAGATAGGAACCTTTTGTTTTACTGTTAGAGGAAGTTTTCCATCAAGATAACGCGAGTGATACGTTCTTGAATCATTAATGTGTGTATTAATAACTCAAGTTGAAACGCAAAACTGTTAGTGTGCCTGCCTTGAATGAAAGTCTAATTAATGTTGATACTTGCAGGGGTTTGCAACCATGCCTTTCACTTTCACTGCATTAGCAGATGGCTAAAGACTCGTCAAGTTTGTCCATTGGGTATGAAATTTCTATGTTTGACGCTTCTTTTTGACTTGTTTGAAGTTTTGGTCTGTTTGCTAATATTGGTGTGTGTGTTTTAAACAGATAACAGTGAGTGGGAGTTCCAGAAGTATGGTCACTAAACCAACTAATCGTACCCAGCAAATATGTGTCTAACCCGAAGATATCAGTGTCGTTTGGTTGCCGCATATGAGATGCTGATATTGCTCAAATTTCTTTGTTTTTTAATTTGGTTTGCCTCAAGTTGTGAAAACAGAGATTTTACTCTTCACTGAACCTATTTTGGATTTTTGCTTTGGGCGATGTCTTTAATTTCAAGAAAATATATAGTTCCTGCGGAGAGTTTTTTTAGTAGAAAATCAAATGCTCATTGGTTTAAACGAGCACGAGACTCTCAGTTATTCTCCCAGTCAGAAACTTCTTACTTATGCAACTTATACCTATCCGATCAAACTTGCAACTCTAAATACAATTTTTTTGAAATATATAATCTCAATTTTCACTCCAAACAAAGTATCTCATTAATCAAAAAGAAAGCTGAAATCTTATAATTAAATGATATATAGCTAATCTTGCTGTTATCCCACTCTATGACAAACAACAGAGCGTTATAACTAAGAGCGCTATAACTAATAAAATTAGACATAATAAATAGTCTAACAACAAGAATCTTTAAAATCAAAACAACTTGTAGACAGGCTTCATATCAGTAGGTTCAAACAACCCAAAATGTTGTTCAGTCCCAGCTGGTTTCAGATTCTCATTAAAAGTAGCGAATATATACCCATCAATGCTACAGTTTGACCTCTTGGGAGTCCCTTTACCACTTTCAATATGCTTCACAAAGTTTCCATTATAAGTAGATGCAATAAGCGGCGTGGTAAGGTCACCATTACCAGAAGATGGCCACCCGGTCTCAGACACCACCAACGGTAAATCTTTCACGCCTTCCTTCTCCATTGCCCACAAGAACGCGTCGAACATTGCATCAAACATGTTAGTGTAGCCCAACGGTCCGTCTTGTACCACGATGGCATTAGTGTTGAAAGTTGCGTAGTTTATGTCGATGTTCACAGGGTCTGATGCGTAAGGGAAGTAAGGGTACATGTTGACAAGGATCGGTACATTTTTGTTCTCAGACAAGAAGTTTAGAACCGGTGTGAGTTGTTCACGCGCTAGGGGCGTGAACGTTCCGGAGGAAGGTGGGTAAGACTGTCCGAGGTTTGCCATTGAGACAACGGTGGTTATTGAGATGGGAAGATTCATGGAATCTACGAGGTTGGTGAGAGACTTCACTACGGGAAGCACTTGAGATCCGAGTGGTCCAGGGATGACTTCGTTACCGACGGTAATGAATGTTATGTTGACGTCGGTTAAGTAAGGCTCAATGTTGGTAGCGAACCAGGTTTTAACAGCTTCTTCACTGGCTGCAAGAGCAGCCAAGTCTTGGTCCTTGACGCCCACGGTGACACTAATATCTTGGTGACCACGTACGGCGTTGAGAACCGCTACGTTTGGGTCGAAGATACGGATTTTAGTAATGCCTATGGACTTGTAAAGGTTGATGACTTGTGGAGGTGATGGGAGGTTGTCTCCGAGAAGACCATAGTTCAAGCCAACGTTTGTAGCGTTACTTAGCAGAATAGACGTGCATGAGAGTAGGAACAATAAAGTTTTCTTCAGACAATCCATAGTGTTGTGTCTGCAAAATCAATAGCCAAGGAACCGAGCTTTTCTTTTCTTTGTTATGGTTATGTGTTGTTTGCATATCAATAGGTTTGTGCATATATACACATTTAGATCATGTTTCTATATTATTTGATATCATTAAAATTGTCAAATTGCATAATTATTTGTTTCCTTTTTTTGTGGTATTGTTTTACTTATATCTTTATTATGTTATCCTTTCAGTAATTATAAAGTTCTATTTTTGTATGTCTAGATTTGATAGTTTTCCCTTTCCCTAATTATAAACTTTTATTTTTGTATATGCTAGATATGATAGTTTATCTTAGAAGATTTCATCATAATGTATTATGTAAGTTAACATAAACAGAACTTGGAAAATCTATTCTACAAGGCTAATAGATATTTGCACTTGCAGCATGCATTCAAGCCCTTACGTACGTGGCCTTCTAAAAGTTCCATTGTATTTAGAAAAATGTAAATAATATATGTAAAATTGTAAAGTAAGTTCTTTTAAAACGGAAATGATCTTATTTTATATAATAAAGTAATGTATATTATGAACATAAAATCTGAGAGGATGAGATGTGCTACCTTACTTTTGACATTTTTTAATTTTCAATTAATTTACAAATTAATTTATATTTTAGAAGGTAAAATAAAGTTATCATAAATATATTTTCGGATAATATATATATTTTTGAATTAAGATGAGATCTCAAAAAGGTAATTTTCACTCACTATTTATATAATATTATATAACAATTATTAAAATTAGTAAAGACTTTTTCAAATATCAATCTAAAATTAGTTGACATTACAAACTTTTAAGATAACAGCTAGTTGACATTACACATTGTTCTCTATTTTTATCATTTTGAGATTCAAACAAATATTTTCATGTAAGATCGAATCAACTTTTTCTTTTCTATGAAAAAATCCCTGTTCATTAGGATATATACAAAACATGAAATTAAAAATTCAGTGCAGAAAGTAAAGTTTTTTAAAAAGAAACATATATAGACCATGTTTGAAATGCTTGGCCACTTGGTGTTTCTTTCTTATTGTCAGTTTCATAACACATCTCAACAAGTTGGTGTTAGAGAATAATAATCAGAAGATAATCCAATAAGACAATTTAAAAAAGAATCCGTAATGGGCTTGTTTCGGCCCATTACACAACTCAGTCGCTCACTCATTCTCCTCTCCAAGAAGAGAAGCAAAAAAACACACACACACGAGAGAAAGTGGCAAAAGTGTTTCTTCTTTTGGATTCAGATTCATATATACAGCTTCTGCTCCTACGATCACAATGACGTACGTGAGCGTGTTGTTCTATGGAGTAGGAGGGATAGTCTTGGCCGGCGTGGCGCTGCTAGTGGTTTTCCAGGAGAAGCTTGTCTACGTCCCGGTTCTTCCCGGTTTAACCAAGTCATATCCTATCACCCCTTCCAGGCTTAATCTCATTTACGAGGACGTTTGGCTTCGCTCCTCAGATGGCGTACGCCTCCACTCTTGGTTCATCAAAATGCTCCCTGATTGTCAAGGTTTTTTTTTTTTCTTACTGATCTGAGTTTTGCCACGTAACATCTTTTTATTGGTAGATTCGGTTAATAGTAATACAATTCGGAAAGCTTTAGGGATGTCTCTTTTTTTTAAGCTAGGTTTTGGTCTCCTTTGGTCAGTTTAGTGATCCCTGAGATAATGGTGATATTATAGTAGTAGTCCGTTTTTTATATCGAGTTTTAAAATAATTATCCTTTTACAAATTTAGGGACTTATTAAATGTATGAATAGTATTAATAATCTGGAAAAAACAAACTCGGCTATTACAAGAACTTAAAGAGATTTTCTAAACAAATTCTCTTTACAAGTTTCTTGTGCTCGTCCGAAGAGGAGAGATTGTCTTAGACTTTGGTGGTGGTTGTAGTTCTCTAATATAACTTGTCTTGGTTGGTAGTAGCTTTAGCTTGATTCGTCTGAGACTCTGAGCCGATTTTTCTAAATAATTGATGTAATCTTGTGCAGGTCCAACCATTCTGTTTTTTCAGGAGAATGCTGGAAGTATCCTTTTCCAGAGCCATTTCTTTGTGATTTGGTTGATATAAGCTTGTTTGTTTATATGTATATGCTTTAAGGAGTTTCTGTTGGGTTTAGATTCTTTACCTTGTGAAGACCTTGACCTTTGAACCCTAGATATTGCTCATCGTCTAGAGATGGTTCGCATTATGATACAAAAGTTGAATTGCAACGTATTCATGCTTTCATATCGCGGGTCAGTCAGTTTCACTTAGCTGTTTTTCTTGTCTTTATCTCTCATCTTAATCGTTCATTTTTAGTTAAAACATTAGACCCTTTCTTGCATTATAACTGGTTGATTTTTTCCGTGCAACTAGCTATGGGGAAAGTGATGGTTATCCGTCGCAGCATGGGATCATTAAAGATGCTCAGGTTTGCTTAGCTCTCTCAATCTATCCACATTTACTTAAAACTCCTGTGTTGTGTGTTTTTGTAACCTGTTTTCATGCCTTTTACTTTTGTTAGGCTGCGTTGGATCACCTCTCTCAAAGGACAGACATTGATACATCTAGAATAGTTGTGTTTGGAAGGTCCCTTGGAGGAGCTGTTGGAGCTGTGCTTACCAAAAACAATCCCCAAAAGGTATTATTACTATATATTCGTGTTAGCATTGTTTCTGCCTTCAGTATTACGTTTGATATCTACACGTCAAATAGTTGTATGTTTACCATTCTCTGCACTGAACTTATATAGGTATCTGCATTGATTCTGGAAAACACTTTCACATCCATTCTTGATATGGCTGGTGTTTTGCTACCCTTCTTGAAGTGGTTTATTGGAGGAAGTGGTACTAAAAGCCTGAAACTTCTTAATTTTGTTGTACGCTCCCCGTGGAATACAATTGATGCTATTGGTGAGGTAAGAAACAATGTTAATATAAGCAGATTACATCATTATACCTTGAATATGTGTGTCATGAGTTGATTCTGTAGCAGCTCACTGATAAGCTGATCTTGTAACAATAAACAGGTCAAACAACCAATACTTTTCCTCTCTGGACTTAAAGATGAGATGGTCCCTCCATTTCACATGAAAATGCTATACGCTAAAGCTGCTGCCCGTAACTCTCAGTGCAATTTTGTGGAATTTCCAAGTGGGATGCATATGGATACATGGCTGACTGGGGGTGACGTTTACTGGAGAACAGTCTTGCAGTTCCTTGCAAAGCATGCGCCTGAGCAAAAGAAACAACGATAGAGGTTAAAGTCCGCTCTCCGATTGCTCAGAAACGGTGTTTGTTTTAAGATCTTCTGGATCTGTTATGATGTCTTTTACTCAGAAAATAGAAACTCTGTGGTCTTGCAGGAAGGTAAACTAGTTGAGGATGCTGTGTTTAGAGGAAGTTTGGACTCAGTTGGATCCTACTGAAACCTGAAACTTTATAAAGCAGATTTATATATATATATATGCTTATATTGCATTTGGGAGTGAGATGCTGGAGAGGGACTTTGTAAGCAGAAACAGCCACTGGTAAATGTCAAAGTACGTTCTGAGTTGTTTCAGTCTTCGTCGTTTTTGGTTACTTTTTTCCAACTGTTTGTGGTTCTCTTTTGATGCTAACCATTTCCTCTAAATGATTATTATTGCTTTGTAGATGATTGAGAAAATGCAAAGACATGGTTTATATGATCAAAGTTTGCATGCAAATTATGGGGGGGGGGGGTAGGGGTGGGCACTTTATCCGATACCCGAACCCGACCCGAAATATCCGAACCGAAATCCGAACCGAAGTAGCAAAATACCCGAACGGGTATTGAGTTAGGAGAGTTTGGATATCCGAACCCGAACGGGTATTACCCGAACCCGAACGGGTATCCGAAGATAACCGAACATATGTATATATACCTATTTATTCCTAGTTTATTTATCTCATTTTATTAAAAA